CTACTCTGGCCGCCGTAATTACCGTTAATCTACAAAATTACATTTCCTTATTATTGTTGATTGTTTTAATTCAAAAAAAAAAAAAAAAAAAAACAAACAAAAATTACAACTCACAAAACCGCTGTAGTCTGTGTCAATCGCATATTGGTTTATGGTCGGTATCCTCTCCTTTTTTTTTCGATAAGCGAAATCTATTCCTTAGAAAACAAAAAAAACGTTTTTTTTTTTTAGCAGATTTTCTGACAATTTTTTACTGTTGTGTGGTAAAATCAATCAACCGTATAATTATTATCGATAAAAAATTATTTTTCTAATACTCACGTCTACGTATCCACTGGTCGTGTGGTGGAGATGAACGATTCTCAGCACACAAGAAATGTCGTCACGTGATATTTATAATTTCAAGAGTTCGATTGGAGTGAAGCTGCTCGTATAGCTGGCTCTGAAAATTCACGTCTGAATATGTTGTATACTCACCTCATCCATGTATAATATGTCCCAACTCTATACGTCTTCTCCCTTCCTGTTATATTTTCTGAAACACACAGATATGAGTACGGGTACTATATAGTGATTTGGGTTATATAGTGTTTAGGGTATTTTGTAATGTCTGAATAATAATTTTCTTTAAGAAAAACAATATCATATTATATTTATTATTACAAATATTGTAATGTTACGGCGGCGGAACGTAAAGTTGGTGACCGAAATCGAAGTGAATCGACAATTTTTAATATGGGACACGTTATTTGTACGAAAATTAGAAACATCATACCCCGGGTTGACTGGATTTGAAATAAAACATATATACGAACGTGTTTTAGCTATATGCGGTAAATATTTACCCAGAGACCCGGTAACTTTTAATCGGGCTTTGGTGTGTAAAGACGAAATATTAAAGTTATTGGACGCGGATAATCCGTTAAAAAATATTGAATCACACGTTGTGGTGAAAATTGAAGAAATATTGAAAAATATAAATACATCCGAATCGGATGTATACTGGATACAGCATAAAAAATTGAAAAAAACACATGTACCAGAACCTGTGAAACGATATCCATTAAACGTTGCTACGAAAGTGGTAAACGACGTGTCGTTATTCGACTTCGAATACCTGGCATTTGGTAATCATACGACATACAGATTATTTGATGACACTTCGTTTGTTGATTATTTCTATCAAAATGCTTTACACGCAGCCGGTGTTGTCGATCCAACATCTGATATATCAAGAGATCCCAGATGGCAATTGCGATTGTGTGTATTATTGAAGGAAACGAATTTTACCGACGATGTGGCCATCAATGCTTTTTATTATAATGTAGTTAAACACGACGATGTAGCTTACGATACTTCATATGTACCAAAATTTAACGTGCGTGATTTGAAACGTCATCGGTACACTGATAGTTTTATAACACAAACCCGCAACGGTAGTTTTTTGGGGTTTTATGACATTAAAGACGACAACATTTCAAAAGTATTTATAGAGCCGTTATGCGTAGATAAATCGTGTACGAGTATATATTATAGTGGCACCGAATTCACCGATAGCGGTGAAAACAAAAATAATCATAAAACGGTAACACAATTGTTGGAGTATAGAAATAATCTAAACGTGCGTATTACACACCATGTCCCGACACCGTATTTACGTATATTTATAACGTTCCCATTTAAAGACGGACACGTCGTGGATCCACGCAATGGTGAAGTGCGATTTATAGAGAAAGCTGTTTATAATAAATACACAAACCACGAACTTCAGGAATATTTACGATCGTCGTACAACGCCAGTAACTTCGAAGGCGTTGTTTACGAATGTTCAAAGGCGTTTACGATAGATGCTTTGTTATCGTTCGTCGCGTACACTGACGATTTGGAGTTACAGGGTATTGGTTTAATAACGCTTCGCGCTGTGGTCGGAGATAATCTGAGACTATCCAACGATATGGTAGTACGGTTACCGTACGCGAATGAGGTGTACGCGTGGTTTAATAATTATCGTATGCAAAATAAGTGCGCGGTATCCAGTATTGATAAAATAATAAAAAACTCTGATTTATATTTGCTATTCCCCAGACAACCGGAATACGATTCAATCGTTACGAAAACGTTGACTGCTGATTATGTACAAATAATACGAGATATCGTACGAACGGTTAGATCACGTTACGAATGTGCGTTTTTATGTTCTGGTTACACTATTCTCCAAACGTTATACATTTTAATTTATTCCGAATTGAAAACCGACGCTGAGATATACGTATTTTTAACAATAGTCATACAAGACTGCGGGTTAATAACTTTTAGAGAGTATCGGTCTACATTACAACCTAAATGGCCTGTTCATGATAAACTATCAGTAAACGAATTGTATACAAAACACAAACACAACGTGAGAACAGTGGATGTACAGTTGTCAAAAAACTGTAAGGATTCCAACCAATCGAGTCGAGTTCAAACAACAGATCGTATATCCGTTTCGGGGTCTGAAGACACACCTACACGAGAAACACTCGATGAATTTGAATTTTGTGATTCCGATCTGAGAACACTAGTAAATACCGGTACATCACAGCTCACCGGACATCAAACTATAAGTTCGTTAGTGGTGTATCTTTCTAAAAACAATCTTCGTACGCCGTTGTTCACCTAGTTTGGTTTTTGCCCCAAAAAAAAATGTGGTGTCTCTTCGAATCGAGACGTCAACGTTGCAAGAAACACGATTTGTGTATCTACGAGCAACTGGTGGATTATCGTCTCGAATATAATAATAATAATAATAATAATAATAATAATCGATAAATATCAGTGTTTGTTCAGCCGACTCGTTTGTCTAACAGTTACTACCGTGTAGTAAAGAGCTAAGATTTCTGTTAACATAGTAATGTAATGTTTCGTATGTAAATCAAAAAAAAACACACGCACACATCGCAGAGATAACTCTTCAAACGTTAAATGTTTTTTTATCAAATATACCAGTAACACTACATCCGCTTATTGTGAAACTATTGTGTTTGATTTTAACGGTGTAAAAAAAATGACGAAAAATATACAATATGCAACGATCACGCCACCGCCTAAAGAATTGATTGACTGCACAAACTTCGTCATAGACTTTGCTGGTCGAAAATTTATTCATGTCGGGCTCGACGGTTCAGACGATCTCAATGTGATGGTACAGATTATAACACCATCACGTTATGTATGTATAACAAGTGCTTTATTGCATAAAATGTTCAATATTATTCCGTACATACTATCGACTATATCCCACCAGAATGGTAAACAGCGTGACAGGTTTTTTCTCAAAGACGAGGATTACAGTCTGTCACGACGTAATTATCGTCTTGAATGTATGCTCGTTGTCAAATCGAACCATCGGGATGAATTAGCAATGCTGAACAGACAAGATCTGTTAAGAATACAAGAAATACAATGGGCGATCAGTGAATCAATCTCACATAAATTTAACGTCGTACGGTGTTCAGTTAAAGATCAAATCGATAAGTTAGCTACACATTTAAGTACTAACGTCTATGTCGATACCTCATTGACCGTAGAACAAATGTGTATGGCCACACGAAATATTCACAATAATCTCCATGTTATGAATATATTTCCGAATAGCGAGAACAGTTTCATAAACCAAATAAAATTATATGCTGAAAAACAGTTGGCCGTACAATGGGCGAATAATATCAAATATAATGATATGTATCGTGTTACGATTGGTTACGGTGACAACGAAACGCCAGATGTAATTATTATAAACAATTGAAACAACTATATGATTATAACATGATTTCGTGTTATAGTATTATAAAATATTGTAGAGTATTACTTTTAATAATATAATACTGTTTTTTTTTTTTTCATAGTATTACGGATTCCATGAGAATATTGGACCTGCGAAGCGCACATATTAAAGTCATCGTTCGTAACGTTCAACAAGACCTACACAACACAGCTGCTGATTAAATATAGTAATATTAAGAAAAAACACGTGTATAGCGTAACAACGCGCCATAATAACCATCTGTTTGTAAGATTTTAAAACCCTTTAACGGGCTATTGTCGACGTCGCTATGATTTGTATTGAAAAAAAAATATAATATACACCACTTCATAATATTTTATTTAAAAAAAAATGCATTTTTTTTGTTATTACAATTAAATATTATATGGATACCTAAATTTTTGTGTATAAAAAAATGAAAAGTCATCTCCATAGGTACCCCAGGCATAGGACCTGGACGCCGACGGGTGTAATCGTAGTTTGCCAAGCATTCACGGTGCCAGTCTGTAGCGGTATGTGAAAAAAAATAAAATATATGAAAAGTTACCTCCATAGGTACCCCAGGCGAATTAGGTAGCGATATCGTCTTTCTTGAGAGCCAAATTGTAACCGGTTGATTTGTGGTCTTTTTAGTAACTCAATTGTCGATAGAGGTATATCATCGAAAGGTGCATATACGACAGTGGCGCCCAACGGGGTTCTCATTCACTGTCGGAGACATTTTTATTATTTTTTTTTTTATTTTTTGTGCGCGTGCCCTGGTACCTCGCACGTTGAATTTTTCGAAGTGTTTATATGTACGAGAAGTACAAGTAGTACAACAGTTTGTGTGTGTTTCGGGTGGAGTAACCTGAAGCGCAAATTTTTGATTTTTGAAAGTTAAAGTAAATTAAATCGTTCGAGTGTTTTGGGTGGAGTATCCAAGGACGCAGTTTTGTGTGCGTGTCTATCGTAAGAGTACGAGTATACGTACGCGTCGTATGCGTTTGATTTCTGTCCAACGGACGGAATAATTGTAGTACTGTGTAGGTACAGTTTTAAATTCACGCGCCTACACACGTATACCCTAAGATGGAAGACGACCAATTAAAAAGCATTAAAAGAATAAAGAAATCTATAAAGAAAGTGGAATTCAACCCACATGGACTAAAAAATAATGAAAAACCTTTTAATACAAACGAATATCGCAGAAATAAAAAAAAAGAAGCAGAAGCAGCACAGAACCGAATAATTGATGAAAAAATCAGGAAGGGGTTTGAAAAGATTGTAACATTTATTCAGACCGAATTCCCAACAAACTCATAGTAAGGATAATTTGTCCATATACACTCTTATTAGCTATTTCCTTCCTGCTCCATATAAATAAATAAAAATATATAATAAAATAGGTATATAAATCTATAGCAAATATCATATATTATACTATGTCTATGTTTTAAGTGACCTTATATTATTTTTTTTCTTTTACATTAAGTTTAGTTATAAATACACAATCTATAATAAAAAAAAAAAATAAAAATATTTAGCACATAATAATTCTAATATATAAGGATTTTGGCACTATATAAACTTAAAAATGAGGGCATTTGTTTTAAAAAACAACGGGGACTGTCTCGTATATTGTAGACACTCATCGGAATAAAATTATTTAATATATATTATGTAATATAGGTGGGAATATTTTTATTATAAATTGCTAGCTTAGGTCGGGCCGAGGAAGCGAAAATGTGCTGAGGCGACAATATTATATTCTGTATATAACACCGCCGTACGCGCAGGCACGAGAGAGTCCGAGGGTCGCTGAGCGTTTAGGCGAGAACGCTGGTACTACGATCGTACGTGTGAAACGACGATTATAGTACGGRCTACCCATCTGGACTTGTCAGTGTTTTATTATTATTTTATGTTTGTTTTGTTTTAATAAAAGTGTTTCCGACCTATAAGATTATATGTTTTGTTTGAGTAGTCACACAATTCTACCGTACTCCTTGAATCCGATCTGTATAACCGGTTAATTTATGGTCGTTGACGATTTAAGGTTTAAACGGTGAACGTATAGTCCTACGTTAATCGTATTCTTTCAAATCTGATCTGTGACCGGTTAATTTATGGTCGTTGAGGATTGAAAGTTTAAACAGTAAGGTAGCGATATCGTCTTTCTTGAGAACCAGATTGTGACCGGTTAATTTATGGTCTTTTTTTTTGGTAACTCGATTGTCGATAGAGGTATATCATCGAAAGGTGCATATACGACAATACGAGAGAGATGGTTTACTGAAAAAATTTAAAAAAAAGTGCATTTTTTAGGTAAATGTATCACTATCGTCGACGTCGCTATGATTTGTATTGAAAAAAAATATAATATACATCACTTCATAATATTTTATTTAAAAAAATGCATTTTTTTTGGTATTACAATTAAATATTATATGGATACCTAAATTTTTATGTATAAAAAAATGAAGTTACCTCCATAGGTATCACAGGCATAGGACCTGGACGCCAACGCGTGAAATCGTGGTTTGCCACGCTTTCTCTGTGCCGGAGCGTAGCGGTATGTGAAAAAAAATAAAATATATGAAAAGTTACCTCCATAGGTCCTCAAGGCGTAGGAACCGGACGCCGACTGGTGAAATCGTGGTTTGTCACGCTTTCTCCGTGCCGGAGCGTAGCGGTTTGTGAAAAAAAATAAAATATATGAAAAGTTACCTCCATAGGTACCAAAGGCGTAGGAACCGAATGTCGTCTGGTGAAATCGTGGTTTGCCACGCTTTCTCCGTGCCGGAGCGTAGCGGTATGTGAAAAAAAATAAAATATATGAAAAGTTACCTCCATAGGTACCCCAGGAACCTGACGTCGAGCGAAGAAATCGTCGTTTGCTATTTTTTCCCCGTGCCCGCGTAGCCGTTTGCCCCGACGCGATATATCCGTTCGCTACTTTTACACAGTAACCGCGTAGCGGTGTGCGAAAAAAATAAATCTGAAAAGTAAGGAGGTACCAAACTTTTCATGTACCCCACAAATAGTCGACAAGCCCGGGTGCCCAGTCGTCGGGTAAGCTTTCGACCGACTTCAGTTACACATCGGTTTGCTACTTTTTCAGAGTACCCGCGTAGCGGCGAAACCATAAATACTGAACAATACAACGCTATACCGCGGGCCGCAGCTGTTGAGCTTGACTCTAATCTGGCATTGTTCGGAGACATGYCGAGGKGTAGCATAAGTKGRAGTCGGGGGTCCAGGCGGGCGGTCTCGGCCGTCCGTCTCCCCGTCGACCTTGAAATACCACTACTCGCATCGTTTCCCCACTTACTCGGTAGAGCGGAACGCGCGGTTC